ATCTTACAATGCTGTGATTGCAGCCATTCCCCAACTCTCTGTGAATGGTACCCATGGCCATTGATCAGTGGTCTTTGATCAGTGGGTTTTGGTCAGTGGTTGTTGATCAATGGTCATAAGAATTTGCATAATTATGATTAAGGAACTGACCTCACAGCCCATTGTTCCTTCAGTGGGCTGATTTCAGTCATTATGCAAATGTACTGTTTATAAGATTGGGGAAACCTGCAGTCAGCTGAGACTGAAGAAGTCACTTGGATGAGTGACGAAACGTTTCTCCCAGAAAACAATACGTCCAGATGAACAGAATCAACTTTTGGAGATTTATTTTCCTGGATGATTGAGAATGCATCAAGATGTCATAATAGTTATTTCCAACTGTGAAGCCAGCTAATGCAGAAAAAAACCCAAAAAAAAAAAACAGGCCGACTCAATAAAATTCAGATGTTAACATTTGTCATCAAGACAGAAAAAAGAAAAAGGTATAAACCTATCCATTTGAAAATATAGGCTATTTTCAGGAAGGAAAAACTCCCTTTTAACAGGAAACTTCCGGCAGAACCAGGCTCAGGGAGGGGCGGCCATCTGCCACGACTGGTTGGGGTGAGAGAAGGAAAACAGGATAAAGACATGCTGTGGAAGGGAGCCAGAGATTAATAACAAGTATGATTCAATGCAGAGAGGTCTGCTAAGACATAGTGAGTGAGAAAGGTGACTGAAAAAGAAAATTCAATGCATCACGGGCATCCCCTAGCAGCCTACACCTATTGCAGCATAACTAAAGGAGGATTCAGGGTCACCTGATCCAGCCCGAACTAAAGAGCAAAGTGCTCTAATGGGGTTATGTGGTACTATAAGGTCATTAAGATAAGATGGGGCATGATTATTTAAGACCTTGTACAGTGTTATTGCAAAAGTATGAGCACCCTTGATAATTTTCATGATTTTCCTTCATAAATCATTGGTTGTTTGGATCAGCAATTTCATTTAAATATATCATATAGCAGATGAACACAATGATATTTGAGAAGTGTAACGATTTGACAGGTTTGATGGCTTCATGGATAGCCTGCTTTAAGTCACACCATAGATTTTCAATAATATTCAGGTCTGGGGACTGAGATGGCCATTACAGAACATTGTACTTGTTCCTCTGCATGAATGCCTTAGTAGATTTTGAGCAGTGTTTAGGGTCATTGTCTTGTTGAAATATCCAGCCATGGCTCAACTTCAACTTTGTCACTGATTCTTGAACATTGTTCTCAAGAATCTGCTGATATCAACTGGAATCCATGCGACCCTCAACTTTAACAAGATTCCCAGTACTCTTTCTAGTCACTGTCAGTACTCTTGCTGCATTTTGAATTAACTGAAGGCTTTTCAGGGAGTTTTTAGGACATCCTGATAATAATGAATTACAGTAGTCCAACCTAGAAGTAATAAATAAACCAGTTTTTCAGCATCACACTGAGACAGGATATTTCTAATTCTAGAGATATTGCATAAATAGAAGACAGCAGGCCTACATAGTTGTTTAATATGTGCATTGAAGGACATGTCTTGGTCAAAAATGACTCCAAGATTCCTCACAGTGTTACTGGAGGACAAGGTAATGCCAGCCAGAGTACGAATCTGGTTAGATACCATATTTCTAAGATTCTCAGGGCCAAGTACAATAACCTCAGTTTTATCTGAATTAAGAAGCAGAAAATCTGAGTTCATCCAGGTCTTTATGTCTTTAAGACATTCCTGCAGTTTAACTAATTGGTGTGTGTTATCTGGCTTCATCGTAAGATAAAGTTGGGTGTAAACTGCATAGCAGTGAAAATGTATTCTATGCCTTCTAATGATACTGCCTAAGGGAAGCATGTATAATGTAAACAGAACTGGTCCTAGCACTGAACCCTGTGGAACTCCATAATTAACCTTAGTGTGTGAAGACAGAAAATACAATCCTAAAGGCAGAAAAAGCACAAATTCTGCTGGTTGAGCAGCGACTGAGTTTGATTCCCTAATCCGGGCCTTAAATATTTTAAGGTATATGGGTTGTGTGTCTGAGGTGGGGTTCATTTTGAATTGTTTTTATTTTATCAAGTATTGTTTAACTTTTGTAGTTTTTGTTAAGGAACGGTTGTTAGGTAAATTGTGAAAGGATTTTGTTAATATTAAGTTTAACGTATAATTTATCCTTTTTTGTGTATAACCCTGCTGATTTTGTCCCTTTTGCATCCAAGCTGAGAGCTGAAGGTGGCGGAGGGTTTCCCAGCTGACTGTTATTATGTGCTGTGTGTGTGGTTGGTGCCAGATTCTCTTCGCAGTTGAGTGCATGCTCACAAGTGTCTGGGGTGATCTATTTATCTTTTTTATTTGTTGAAATCGTCTCCCCGTCAAGTTGACCATCCTCAGTCCTGAACACCAACCCCCATTCCCGTTATGGTTGAATGTGTAGAGTTTTAAAAAAAGTTTCCTTTGAGTAACGAATTATAACTTTTAATTGTGAAATCACATCTCCTGCCTCATGTTAGTGGAACAAACCTGTGTACCTTACTGGAGTTAGTACTTATTTCTTTGGGTGAAATTCCAAAGGTGGCGTTGTTGGCAAAGTACTGAATTACTCTTTTATACCTTGCTCCCACACTTGTTCATTATTGTAAGATATGTATTTAGTTTGTCAGAAGGGGATAGGTGCAAGCTAGTCTGTCTGAGAAGTGAACCTTTATGTGTCATTTAAAGAAGACTTTAGCTTATTTTTATGACAATGTTTTGTACTTTTTATCTCATATAAGAGTACAGTCACTTTCAGAAATGAGAAGCACTTCTGACAAACAGGAAAAAGGAATATCAGGAGAGTAACATGAACCACACTTACGTTATGCAAAAACAAAAAGGAGAACTTTACTGCAATCATTCAAAAGCATTTCCCCTCAACCTACATACAAAATTTAAAGAGCCACTGTCCAGTCTGGCACCTAGTAAAGGACCAAAAGGATATAAAAAAAAACACCCATCAATAGACACCGACGAACGTAGGCAATATGTTTCTATGAAATAAGACTTTTTTTCACACTAGTTTCAAGCATGGAAATGGAATTTAATATCTTTAAATAACATTTATTTAGAAAATTTGGTCAAAAATGAAACACGTGTGGATATAAGAAAGAAGCAGATTTAGTTGCTTCAAGATTGTCTTTGTAAAGGGTAGAAAGATTATAGCCCTATAACCCTCGCCACAATCTCTCTACACAAGATAACAGAGTCAACAGCTTGCACAGGTATGATAATGTCACTGAGTGGCGCCTACATTAAGTGAAATGTACTACTTTCATTATATAGACAAGATAGACAAATGTTTGAACATGCTTATGTTTGATTGTTTTAATATCCCACTAAAATGGGCTGAGAAAAGCACAGAACAGGATTTTTAAAAATATTTTAATCTAACTAAGTATATACAGAATATAAAGTATGTAAAACTCCATAAAAAGATTATCTAAAATTAAATTGGTGTAAAGCATACAATACTGTTAAGTCTGGTGTTATAGATACTAATCTGAAAGTTCATGTCATAAAAGAATTAATGTAATTCTTTGCTTCTGAATTCATATTTCAATTCACACAGTCAGTCTCTAAACTATGACACATAAACATGCAACTGTACAGAAGGTAATCTGACATCTATCTGGGGAGAAGTCCCAACAGAAACAATTGTTTGAGAACAATAGTTGTGTCAGGAAGTAAGTGAGGGTGGGATACTATGTAGTTACAAGTGCATGTTTTTTTAAGTGACATTTCTCTAACGGACTAACACTCATTTCTTTCTTTCACAGCCTCTCTGGAGTTGTCTTTGGAAGTCACATTGGTGAGTCGGACAGTCTCCTGCTCTGTGCTCTCTTTCCTGTCACGTACTTCCCCTTCCATGTGGAAACCAACCATCAGCTGGTATATCATTACACCAATGAAGGTACCAAGGAATGGAGCAAAAACAGGGACCAGGAACCAGCCTTGTCTAACCCTGGACAGAGAAAGAATAAGAGTTAGTAAGTGTTAGTAGGGATCACTGTAAAGGCAATGTGAAGGAAAAGTAGTTAAACTCTGTCCACTTACGTGAAAACCTCACTCCCCCAACCAGCTATAGCGGTGAAAAGACGTGGTCCAAGGTCTCTGGCAGGATTCACTGCATAGCCAGAATTAAAGCCCATAGACAATCCAATGACCAGAACCACAAATCCCACAGTGAAGGCCTCCAGCCCTTGGGGGATGGGGTTGTTGTGAGGATCCACAATGGCCAGAATGCAAACTATCAGTGCTGCTGTGCCAATAATCTGTGTGGTAAAAATGAAATGTAAGAGGGAATCCCATCTATATTCTGTTCTTAAAATTTGTGTATAAAACCAGTTTGCATTTCAAAAGACTACCTGATCAAAGAAACCGTTGACAAGGGTGAGATGGTTTCCAGGATAAGTAGCAAAGATGCCGGCTGTGGCGTCAGGTCCAGTCACATTAAAACTTGCAGGATGGTCCCACAGGGCATCTAATAAGATCCAAATAATAAGATGGTTCATGTGGGGTTTTTTTAAATTATTACTGTTGTTGCTGCTTAAATAATAAGATATATATTGTATATTTATCTAATAATTATATAATAAGATAATTCTGACTCATCACTAGAAGTCTTCACTTACCATAGTACATGCCAAAAATAATAGCAGCACCAAAAAAAGCACCAATTGTCTGAAAGAGGAAGTACATGGGAAACTTTCTCCAGCGCTCTCTTCCAAGCAGACACAAGGCAAAAGTTACTGCTGGGTTGAGATGGCCGCCTGCAAATGCAGATGTTGACATTATGTCAGTGTGTGCAGTCCATAATCACACAAAATCACAGCCTTGCCTAAAGTAAAACAAAAAAAGCTCTAAATACATGTTACATAACATAAACATCAATAAATCAGTTTGCTTACCTGATATTTGGCCACAGACCAAGATGCCTAACGTAGCAGCAAAGCCGAAGGCAAAGTTGACAGTAAGGAACATACCATGGGAACCACCGCTCAACACCAACTGGGCGACAGAACCGCAGCCAAACATCTGGAGAGAGAGTAGAGAAATCAAGTTCAATTGGGTCCCAATAAATGAATACACTAGTGTTTGGTTGTTTCTCTTGTAGAACAGTTAATATAATGAAAAATTAAATGTGTGTTTTTGTTTAAATGGGTCTATTTAAATTTGACTAAATGTTTTCTGTCCGTTTGTTGCATTGGCTTTTGTTTGAAATGAAGAAAACCTTTCCAATTGCTCTGAGAAATGCATTCTGCATATCAAGACTTTACAAAGTTTTGTGTACGACATCAACCATACTCAGCATCTCACAATATAAGTATTGTACATTAGAGGCCCTGTTAGTCAGTCAAGGTGAGATTAAAGAATGTGATCATTATTTGTGAGACCTGTAAAACAAAAACCCACTGAATAAGACTTGTTCTGAATTAAATCCATTGTTTTAACAAGGGCAGGCAGGAGTAGACTACACCACATGTTCAGTATGTTGTATGTTGTATGTCAGTATGTTGACCTTGATCGGAGGGGAACTGTCATTATTCCCAAGTGATTTATCCAAGAAGGGGGAAAAACAAGTCCTAATCCACTTGGAAAGAGGATGAAGATGGTTTGGGAACGTTTTTCTTTATCAACAGCACCAGGGTGAGGTGTTCCGGGCATGTCCCACCGGGAGGAGGCCCTGGGGCAGACCAAGGACACGCTGGAGAGATTATATCTCTCGGATGGCCTGGGAACGCCTTGATGTTCCCCTGGATAAGCTGGACAAGGCTGGCTGGGGAGAGGGAAGTCTTGCCCCTCCGCTTAGACTGCTGCCCCTTGCGACCTGGCCCCAGATAAGCGGAAGAAGATGGATGGATGGCTGGATGGATAGATGGATGGAACAGCACCAAACAGGATCTTTCAAACTCTGTGTTCAGAGTACCTCGTGATTATATTTGTGCATATATCCATGAGTGTTCTTTGGATGTGCTTGTTAGTGTAGTATGTAAGCGTCCATGCTTAGGCTTCTGTGCTCTAAGCCCCATGAAGAGGATTCTTTTCACTGAGATCAGATGACATAGATGTTGAGGTTAGTCTGAGGGAACCGCCTTTAGAGGGACTGGCGCCTGAGGAGTGCTCATTATCACTGTGCTCAGTGTAAACTCTCCTCCTACGATGAGACCAGCCATTGCTGGAAAAATAGGATATAGCTGAGTCTTATGCTAGAATTGTGCTTAGCTGTTTTATTTTTAGGAGCGTGAACAAAGTCTTTTTGATACTTCTTAATGTCATAGGCACTGGATTACAAATGATCAGCCATTAGCTTGTGAGTGTCCATTTCCTGATTTAGATCACATTCCACCAGAAAGGTCTCATTTAAATCTGATACTAAATTTGGACACAAGGAGAGCTACTTCCAGCTTGCAGAAGCACTTCTAGAAGTGCTCATATTCAGTGATTCTGTGCTCTTTTCACAAATTACAGTTACTTCATATGTTTCTGTCGTAATGTAGCTTAACTGCAACCCAGCAACAAACATTCAAGTTGCTGATTCAGCATTTCATACATCTATAGTGCCAAATGTTAGCACAGTCGGGGAGTTTATAAAAGAACTGCAGAGCAGTCAGCCAACTGAAACAGACACTTAGGATTTGTCTGGGAGTGAGAGGCCTGAAACCGGTCTCTGTGGGATCTTTTTAAAATCAGGATGAAGAGCCTTAGAGGAATTCCAACAGCTACTCTCCAGATGAAAGCACACTGCTTTTGAAGTGGAAAATGGATTCCACCTTCACATGGGTTTAGCACACCAGTTGCAGTGGCAACCAAAGACACAATCTGCTGCTGATGCTGCTGCTGCTAAATGACTTCCAAGGTCAAAGCCAGTTTAGACTCAGTGAAGAGGCATTTAAGCACGCTATACTGACAGAAAAGTTACTCAGTCAGTTCATGACATATTTTAAATGCCTTTGACTAGAACTAATTTTTTCCATATGCAATGGTCAATTTGTGACCAAATCTACCATGAATTTCAGACAATATTAAAACACGCACAGCTGCACACACCCAGTGAGCATGAGTTCATCTGGAGACATTGAAAATCACAAACAAAAATTAAGAAGAAAGAGGACTTTTTACGCAAGATATTATTGCATAAGAAAAATGTGGCACCTATTATTCTGCCACTGAACGTGTCCTGATGAATAACTTCACCACACCTTTGTATACTATCAGTAGTCACACCAAGAGTTACACCATTACAGGTCAAATATTTCTAATCTCCCATAAGGATTTAACACAGATCAATCCAAAGTGCTCAAAAGAAATGTAGATCATATATATGTACATACAAGGGATATTTTAATCAGGGGTAGCCTGCTTCTGTGAGTTTATTATCATGTTATTATCAGGTTTACAGATCACATTATGCTGCAAGATTAAACATGTTTAGTCATTAAAAGAATACGCTGCCTGCTAGGCTTTATCTTTTACTAGAATTTAAATTATTAACTGTAAAATCCATTTTATTCTTGGCGTCATTTCAAAATAAACAACTTTTAATGGTATACTCTGGAGTCTATATTTCTACTGTATATCTATATATTTCAGTTAGCAAGCAAAAGTTGTCCACCTCACAGTTATTGTTTTGATGCCTATTTTAACCTTTATGTTTGAGACAATGCAAGATAAAATTCTATTTTGTCTTTGGTCGGCCTCTGTCTTTAATACTGATACTGAAAACAAAAACAACAATAACAAATGTGCTGTGCCTCAGACTGAATTATCATCATTACTTTGCATGTATTAACTTCCATGTTCATGTGCACATATATAACTCCTTTTTATGTGAAGAAAGGGTGAGGTTGCGCCTCTGGGATCCTACACACAAACATACACACACATATATATGTATATAACAGATGAGCAGGGGTCATTCATAATAGATAGCATTATTTAAAGGGTGAATATTGTTTTAATGTTGTGTTGAGATTATACATGAATTCCATGCATACACGCACAGACACAGGTGCACACATTCTTACGCTTCCACACACAAACATGCACTTACCACAAGGATGAGCGTGCCAAGACACTCTGCCAGGGCTTGACGAAGCAGCAGGTTGCGGATCTGGAAGAAGCGGGACAGTTTATCCAGATAATGCTTTTGCCAGCCCATGTCTTCTTGTCACAGGTTGAAGAGACTGTGAGAAATGACACAAACACACACACACACAGTTGGTAGAATTTCCTGAGTGCCTATGAAGCTGAGAGGACTGAGTTCCTCTTTTATAGCCAATGGTCTCGGATGGCCATTCTGAGCTTGGACCCACCCCTCTATACCCCGCCTCTGTGCTAGCTTGGTTTTATTACTGACCTGTTCACTCCCTCACCACCTGTCACGCACAAACACCCATACACACACACACACTCTGTACACCTTTTTTTCTTCCTCAGGACATTTTTGCATTGTAAGGTAAATACTTTAATATGATACTTGTCAACACTTTACCCTCCTTTACAACCAAAAATAGTCTAACCAAATAAAATGAAGTTATATATTTAAACTTAAATGTATGTTTAAGTTTACTGATGATGCTTGTTCTCTGTCCCTCAGAATTGTGATTAGAAGTACTCACTGTATGAAAAATAAGATATAATTATATATTTACTAATACGCAGGTATCCTGGGTTTTTCATTTGATTAAAAAAAGCAAATGTTGGAAAGAATTCCTATTTCCACTCATTGGGAAACAACAAGTGGAAGCAAATCCAAACTTACCTGGTTGCCACAAGAGCTAGAACCCTAGAGTTCCAGAGTTATCGGAGCACACACAAAAAAACACACACATAATAATTCATGCTGTTTGCCACCAGTACTGGATCATTCCCAGCTAATCACACACGTCTTCTCTTCTTCTCTTTCTGTCACCTTATTTTGTCTGTCCTTTTCTTATGTTCCTCTTCTGAAACTTCATCACCATACATTATGTCTCCTTTGTCTGGTTAGAAATGTGAGAACATGTGCTCTGTAAGGCCTCAGCTATGCTGGTATCAACTGGAATCTGGATCCCATTCTGTTGTCTGTGTGTCTTGTTGATATTGCCAGTTTTTGCATGATAGTGGAGTCCATCAGCTGGAATTTACCCAAGGACTGCTAAACAAATGTGCACACGTTTATAGACAAATAAGACTGCTTATTTAAAATGTCAACTTATGAAAAAAAAATTCCACTTTCAGGCATACAGAAAACTTTTTCTCCATAATTTATGGAGATGTTATTGTGTAAAAGGCAATCTGAGTCATTGCCAGCCAGATATGTCAACTCGAACATGGTTAAGTCACGTTGTGCAACATTTTACAAGGAACCTTTTTTTGACTAGGAGTAGGCGTCCCCTGAGGAGATTACTGAGGAGAATGCTTCCTAAACCAACTTTGGGGAAAGCAGGATTCTAAAATTTTAGAATTTGATGTAAATTTATATGAAGGGAAATTGGAGATTAGTAGGGGGGGGGGAATAGATGATTCAGCAGAGAAATTTCTCATTACATTGATATTGACTGGTGTTATTTCTTCTTGTTCTTGTATGTCCCCCTTTTCCACCTGTGTTTTCTACACACATCCACATTGTTTGCTCAAAAACTGTTAATTTTGCGAACAATTAAATGTTATTTGGAGGCTAAAAGAACATCATTTTTGTATGTATTCAGTTTTTCAGCTCAAACGCGATTTCGAAAGACAGTGGAGCTGCATTTTTCAGCCATGTGGTTTTATCTAACTTTTCCTGGAAGAGTTTGGCTCAGAAACTGGACAGTTAGTGCGAAAGTGAAAAAATGGGGATACCCACAAGAATTTAAGTCCATTTTTTGACGTCCTTACAATTAAAACTGTAGTATGATGAGCAGGAGAAAAGGCACAGAAGCTACCAAGAAAAAACAGCCTTTGTCCTGAGTCTTCCCCCCTCACTGTTTATAGGCCCACCAAAAAAAAACAAGTCGCAGACTTTGGCTGAAAAGGTAGCTCCTTGTACCGTTGGACTCTGTTGTATGAATTTATTCATGCTGTTCATACTACTCAATTCATCTGACTTCAAAACACTTAAAATATTCTTCTGTCTTCACTTCACTTTCACTGTCTTCACTTTTCTAAAGCCTGAAAACAAGAGCCCAGAGTGAGTGCAGATGTGGCAAAAATATGTTGCCTACCCCAGCTTCACTATTTCAAACTTTTTAACTATTTACTACAAAAACATCTACGCTGATATTATTGAAGTTTTTGATCTGTGGCTCTATGTTCGACATGTGTGCCAGATATGTCTCGTGTAGGAGTGGCAATACTGTAGTTGTTTTAGAACCAGAATTCAGTAATATACAGGTTTCCTGTGTTCAGAATACAATGACAGCATCACTATACATTATTCACCTGCTTTGATCAAAACCCAATGGCAGATGTATGAATTTTTTTCGTCTGTTAGCTCAATAATGAAATCTATTGATCTGAAATCTGGCTGTCATGATCCCACAGTGCTTTAACAATCCAGTAATCTGAGCTCTGGGGAGGCCAGTTAATGGCTGATGGTGTTCCACTGCATGTTCTTCTGTCTGCATTTGTTTTTACTGCACTGGCAGTGGTGTTTAGGATCATTGCCATGCCAAAAAAAAAGAAGCCATTGCCAGTAACAGACTTTTAGATGGCATTGTATGGTGGATCAAAACCTGAAAGCAATTTTCATGTTTACAACTCCACTGAAGTCATGAGATCAAAGCCAACTTTGTGGATAATTAGTTTATTAATGCTCATTGAAGCAGTTCAACCTTTAGGATTAAGCATCTCTCAAGAAAATCGTGGATGTAAATGGGCGAAACAAGGAGAAACAAGCTGACAGAGGAAACTGGCACAAGCACGGGAAGACATGCAAACTGCACCCAAAAGGAATTTTGAACCTTTTTTGCCGCAGGGCAATTGTGTTAAACACTAAGCTTCTGTGCTTATGGTTGTCCTTTTGTTTTAGAAGGAAAATCAAGTTTGACCAAGATATACTACAAGAATTTAGCTTCCGCTGCCTTTTTGCTGTCTTGCTTGTACAAATGTTAAAAGTTGTGACTCCAAGCCATGTTTAGTTTTTCTTATAATGAGCAACAAAGGTGACAACTTAAAAAGAAATAGAAAAACTTAAAAGCAAAACAGTCACATATTCCATTGCTCTTCTTGGTAATCATAGCCGTTTTCTTTGTCTAAAATAAAACACAAACGGTATCTTTGCATCAGCAGCAGTGATGAAATAGATCCCGTTTGCAGAGTTTTGAATGTCTACCAACAGTTTTAGGTTACTAAAATGGTTACTCATACAATACTTACACATAATTGCTGCATATGGTTACATATGCTTTCAGTCATAGACAACTGTATTCTCTGTTCATTACTTAGGCAATTAAATAAGAGGAAAAAGTTTTAAAGTTCCATTAAAATGATTAAAATGTCCCCTCGTGTGGAAGAAAGGAAATCCTCATGAGAAACTTGAGTACATATAAATCTAATTATATCTCATAAAAACTATGATAAATGACTCAAACGTTTTATCATAAATGTTTCTGAAGAACTATTTTTTTAATAAATGACTTTAAAGCTAAATGTCATTGTTTTGCAGATGTGCAAGTGTTATACACCTATAGATGTATATAAATCAAGACAATTAAATGAAATTAAGAGGCAAATAAACTGAAATACAAACAGCATGTATGCATTTATTGGACATGAAACAAACACACATGAATGAGAGAAATATAACCAGAACTGTTAACGGATATGGTTAACAAGAAGCTCAAAATTCATTCATGTTTTCACTGTTTTATTATTTTGTAATGGAATTGAACTGGGGGGGAGGGGGGCGGGGTGTGTTTAATTGTGCTGCGTCTAAAATGACCATTTTTCAGTCCTGGCCTCCACTGACTTGACTAAGCCCTTCCCCATGATTCGGAAGTCCTCCAGTATTGCTTCAACATTGGGAACAGTCTTCGCTTCATCTCCAGTGACCTCCACGCTGCGAGCAGACACCTGTGACGTCTGAGGTTTTGTGAAAAACAAAAACATAATAACAAAGGAAAAGGAAACATGAGGAAAAGGTGATTAGTGTTAAGGTGTGAAAATGAACAGAATGAAGGAGAATGACTATTACAAAAGCAAGTTTTCCACACACCCAAAAACTTGTTTTTTTACGGGCTTCATGTTTTTAAATGGAAGTCACTTTGCAATTACCTTAAAGGGGGTTGGGATGAATGCTTTTGGCTTCCATAAAACTGTGATTACTGTTCCACCACATGGATCACAGAAGAAAAGGGCCAAGTCTCCAAATGCCTCCTGGAAATGAAAAAAAATAAAACTATGTTACGCATGTCAACTGACACTTATTTGTGAAGCTCAAAGCAAAACTTATTAGAAAACTATTGGTATATCCCCCCCCCCCCCCTAAAAACAAACAAACAAACCCAAAACCCACTTCAGTTTGACAAGCTTACTCTGTCAAAACAGGACTGTGATAGACATGTAAATGATGGGATACAGAGGAAGAACAGGAATTAGTATGAATGTTGTGCAGTTTGGATTTCACTGCCTTACAGTATAAGAACAGCTGAGTTTATCTCGGATTTTCTCTTGTCTACGATTAAATTTTTCATTATCTGGAAGCAGCTCTGTTGTATCACACGTCAGCTTTCAAGCATAATATCTGCTTCACGCTTTTTTTTTTTTTTTAAAAGTCTGTCAAAAACACACTCAGCATTTGAAATGTTGAAAGACATTACTCACTCTTAGCTCTCCCAGGTAGAGGGACACAGGGTTGTAGTCGATGACTGGAAGGGGCCCTCCAGGCTGAGCCACACTGCCAGACATCACGCCCCTGCTGAAGGTGATGGCCGGAGGATCTACCACCTGGTCGAGCAGGGGGACCTGCTTTGGGTTCAGGTGAATCACAACATCGTAAGCGTCCAGAGGAGGACGCAAAATCACCTACACAAATACAAAGAACGCATGAAAACACTGAAATAGCAAAAATCCATTTATATATAGTGGATAAATCATGAAGGCAGTATTCACCCACCCTGACATCCTGCTTCTGGCTGCCATCTATCAACTGATGTTCCAGCACTTTAAGACTCTCTGCAGCCAGCATTATCACACGCTGCAGCATCTGAACACACATTCAAAAGTAGCTTTGAACATTTTGAACTATTAGCACCAAAAACACTGTCTCGGTTTTCAAACTAATAGTTAGCACTGGAATATATGTTACCCATATCTTGTAGCATAATTTTATCTGGGGACCTAATTTCATACGGTAACTGCATAACAACTGGAAAGCTGCAGTGAAAACACCATTTTCTGTACGGTTTCTAATTTTGCCAAATTGTTGAAAATAAAAACAAAAACAAACAAACAACAACTTTAAATACACCCCTTAAATCTGTTTTGAACTTCCACCACATTTTTAATCAAAGTTAGTTGATTGCAACAACAGGGCAATCAAATTTCTTTTTTTAATAGAGAGAAATATAACATCATTCAACCTGAGAGCTCTTTCTAGTCCAGATATGAATTGTTTCAACCTCTATGACATTTTTGAAGTCATGGTCATGGAAGTCGTTATTGGAAAATACTGTCATTAGAAATAATCTTAATATTCAATCTGTTAATGGACTACTTTCATAGTCTGTTCCGTGGTGGTTATTCACAGGAACTGCAACAACTACAAATTAAAAAAAAAAAAAAAAGACTCCGAACTCATCTCTACTCAAATGTGCGTACTAATTCAACAATGACCCCCTCAGGCTTCACATTCTCAGGGATGTGAAGCCTGAGGATCCACAGGAGGTAAACTAGAATCAATGTCAACATTTGTAATTAAGTCCACAGTGACGTCTTTATCAGGACGTCACAGCACAAATTTCCTGTTCTCCAAGAACTATAAAGGAGGATGCTGGGAGAGGCAGGTCCTTAAAATTGTTGTTTCTAACAGGAGCAAGGTAGCCAAGCACAGGAAACCTATCTGGGTCAGCCGCACACTATGGGAGGCTCGTGTGCGTGTCTTTTCTGTACGATACTGTGTGCCACAGGACTACTTTACGGCTGCGGTCACGTCCAAACAGAGGAATATGAAACTAAATATTTTACTTATTTTACTACCAAAGAGGATGGCAACGAAAAGCAGCTGGTGAGCTACACCTGATGGTTTTAAGCTGATATAATTAATGATGTAAACATTGTTCTCAGATTTATTTACTTCAATAATCCTGTTTATCATTTGACCCTTTGAAATTTTTCATGTGCGGTTTCAGATCAGTGATTTACACGACGTTTTGGAAAGACTTCAGAACCATCCGTTTCCAGTTCTAAGAAAAAAGCATGGCTATCTCCCTGTGGTATGCAAGGCAAAAACTAATACCAGCTGGAATTTCTAAAACTGATCTCGTCAGTCTGTTTAGAACAATTTATCATCTTTTATAGAGGTACTGAATCACTCTCTCAATTTAATATGATTCCTGTCTTTTCAGTGTGATCCAGGAGAGCAGTGTGCACTAAGGAAAGGATCCCGGATCGGAAAACTATGTGACTGTTCTTTGCCAAGAACATGCAACTCTTTTCTACACCGCTGTTTATGATTCTCTGCATCTGCAAGAAACTTTTTAAACACTGTAAAAGCAAAAGGAGGGGAAAACACTTCTGATGTATTTTAAGCTATAGTACATTCTTCAGTGTTCTTTTCTTACATGTTTACTAAACAAATGTAATATTTAATCATTTAAAATTCAGCGCTGAGAGCTGATCTATTAAATGCTTTGTTATTTGTGTACTTGTGTGTCCACTGACCTGAATGCTAGGTGAGCGTTTGGTCCACATAGACAGTTTTTTGTCTTTAGGCGTAGCTATAAACATGACAGGCAGGGACTCCCGGGTGGCCATGAAGCCATTCTTGATCTCTGGGTAGTCCACAGCTACACGTGACAGAGAGGCGAAAAAGACTTGGCGTTGAAACAATAAAGCATATGGACGGATGTAGAAGTATGTTGGGCGAGTAAAAAGAAAGAGGTCAAGAGGGATTTGTTTGTGTCACACACACGGAAAAGGGGTGTGTGTGAGAGAGCACTTGCCCGTGAGCTGGTTGTTGAGGTTGACAATCAGCGGATTGTTCCTCCAGTCAAAGGAGGAGAGCAGATGAAGGAAGCGAAGGAAGGCCACCTGTGGGGAACTGAGGACGATGGAGAAATTCACTCACATGACCCATAACAAACAGAGGAAAACGTGTTTCCTACACAAAAAAAGCAAGAAAAAAAAATTAAAAAAGCAAAAGTGGTGGCTACCTGGGAGCAGTAAAGGGAGCGGGCTGCAGGAAAAGCGACGCCACCAGCAGGTCTGCCGTGTCCTCTGTAATGTCGTCGCTGAACAGCTGAGCACTGAGCCAGCGTTTGGCCAGGCGACATGCTGCGCCAAAACATGGGTGTTGCTGCTGGAGCCTTCAAATAAAAAGACAAAACGTACCAGACTGAAGAAAATGAAAAGACACAACTAAAAACATAAGTCTGCTTTGTCACACAAGAACTACTTTTTATCACTTTCGAACTTTTACCCATGTAATGTGCTAGTAAGCAGAGGCTTGTGAATGGTGGCCATCTCCAGAGCCTGGGCCTCATCGTTGTCTCTTACAACCAGCAGCCCCTCTGCAGTCAAGCTCTCCCGGAGCACCTGAGGTTCACGGTGGTATGCCACCTGGATTCGGAACACCAGGCCATCCTAGGGGCAAAGTGAAACATGTGCTGCTTTAGCCAAAGGTTTCTACCTTTAGAATGGGACTTTTTACTCCTGACTACCACCAAGTGCTTGCTCTTTAATTAAACTGATGAACTTGTCTCTATTTCTTTAAAAGCAGGGTGTCTTACAGAAGTGCACTGAGAGAACATGCTATGATTTGATGCAATATAAATTATACCAAATTGAAAAGGCAGCTTAAATAAAAGGAATATTGTTACGTGCAATCAAACATTACAAAAAAATTAAATATTCCTACTGTCAAATGTACTTAAGAAACTGAAACAGAAAAACGCACACAAAACACAACAGAAGTGTTTTTGGGGAGACAATAATGTGACGGAATAGCTGCAGAAGCTACAGGATCTACAGTATTATATAAATAACATGATTAAAATGCATGGAGCCCACCTAACCATACTTACAGAGGTGCTCTGTCTTGTGTTAAAATAAGAGAAAATAAAGTTAATATTTGTTGGTCTGTTTTTTTCCCCCTAGATCCCCAGTTGCTCTAAGAATAAACTTGTTGCACTAAAAGACAGAGTGGCTCAGTGAACCTTCTCTCAGTTATAAATTATATATATCAAGTTCAATTTCACAGAAAAGCCAGCTAAAGGTACACATAATCAAAAACATACCTTCCAGACATCCAGGTGGGTAGGACAGGGCCTGCATGTATAGCTATAGTGCTTTCTGAGTAGCTCCCCAAGTTGGATGTGAAAGGCAGCTCGGATATGCTGGATCGCGAGGCGGTCATGAGGCCATTTCCCACTCCCTTCCATGTGACAGATTACTGCAAGAATAAGGCAACCAATACATTGGTGTATGACTTTGCATTGCTACATGTCTGTAGTACCCAAGAAAATGAAGATAAACGTTTTCGTTTGAGCGAAAGTGTATGCATAATACACCATGAACAGCAGCCAGAGTGGAAATTACTACACATCTAGGTGCAGTTTTTACAAAGATCCTTTAAAAATGTTCCAATGAATGAGCCACTAACCTGTAATAGGAGTGATATAGACAGGACATGGTTTGCCTTCCTTAGGCACCAGTGATCTGGAAGTTTTCTCTCTGTCAAAAAAGGAATACTCCAGTTTCAGTGGCCGTGGGGGAAAGACCTGCAAAGGCACAGTTGAGTATAAAATCACAGTTTAATATAAAAGACATCAATGTTTGATCAAGAGCTCACAGGCTTGGAGTGGGATCAAGGTGCCATTTTAAAATTATGCATTTTTTAACAACTTATACCTATTACTGCCGTCATGGCAGCAGTTTTCTGGTAAGAGCAAGGCGTTTTACCTGTGTGTATCTGAGTGCAGGGTGTGCCCCTTGAACAGCAGTGATGGTGAGAGGCAGACCTTCCAGCCTCCATAGTTTTCTGCTCAGGTCATCATAGGACTGAACCACCACTAAACTCTCCTCCTCTCCAGTGCCAGACACCTGAAGAGCATAATGTGTATTAATATTGAAAAAAGACATGCAGAGGCAGATGCAGTGATGAAAAACATCACTGATGCCCTCTTCTGGTGGTTTTCCGCATTAGACTTTATTTTTTAACACAAAGAATTATTTAACTGCTAAGATAATTTATCTACAATTACAGAATTTGTTAAAAAAAAATTTTTAAGTAAAATAATAAAAGAAAGTTGAGCTTTGACAGACAAATAATTATCAGGAAAAAAATGCCAGTGGGGTGTGTTTTTGCATGTGGTGATATGTATTATATATTTATATATAACAAATACCAACAGTTTTACAATGTTCTTGCCATTTTAAGTTTATATAATTACTTAATAAATCATAATAAGACCATTATCGCTGTTTTTTTTAAATATATATATATATATATATATATATATATATTTATATTTATTTATTAGGTATAAAAAGACAATACTATTATTATTGTCAAACAAACTACTCATACTTTCTAGATTGATCTGTATTGACCCAAACCATACTGTTAGGGGAAAATATGAAAGGTATGTCAGAGTTCGTCTTGAAATTTCCATCATACGTGGCTAAAATAATTCAATAATAACGGTTTACCTCACTTCCCGTTTTGATGACGTCATCTACCATCGCCCCGACATACCGCACACAGGATTTGGGGATGTCTGCGTGCCTACGGGATGACACACACGTTCTCTTTTTAATTTGAACCTTCAGTGAAATTGTACACATAATTGCTTCACCGCCAGGTTGTTCTAGGGCACATTCTGAACTGAAACAGGTCACAGCCTGTTTACATTCCCCCAAACCCCGTTTTATTTTTTACCCCATCCCCGATAGCAGTCAGTGCTAACATTTGCTAGCCTGCTAGGGCTCGGAAGACCTGAATTAAGTATGAAGCGCACAGGCAGGAGGCGCAGCTCCGTGTGGGACTGCTTTGAACAAACAGGGAACTTCGTCCGCTGCATGAAATGCAACGCGACGCTGAAATACTGCGGCGGAGCCACGACCTCCATGATGAACCACATGAGCAGGCACCATTCATCCGCGACGCCGATGGACGAGGACGAGAAACCCGTGATCTGCACCGTTCAGTGCATCGAGGAGGAGAACGCTTCCAACAACTCGGAAATCACGCAGGTTGCAGTCATGTCACCCAACATAAACATCACCACTGCTGAGCGGGACTCCAGCGAGAGGAAACGCCTGAAGCGGAGCTCAGTTTGGGATATCTTCATCAAAGTGGACGACGAGGTTCACTGCACGATGTGCGGCACGAAGCTCAAATACAGGAGCAGCACCACCAGCATGATGTACCACATCAAAAACAAGCACCAGGACGCAGCACCCAACGACGGTGTGTCGCTGGCAACGCATGCGGAGGTGACTGAGCTCATCTCCAGAATGATAGAGAAGGACATGCTCCCCATCAGCATGATTAGTGGCGATGGTTTTCGCGAGCTGCTTGCATACACTGTGCACAGTTATAAAATGCCATCTGTTGGTGATGTTACACGCATTATTGAAGGCCGTTTTCATGAGAAGGTTGAAGAGCTTATGGCGCAGCTGGGTAGAGTGGAGAAAGTGGCTCTCACTGCAGACTTCTGGACAGGTCTCACCTTTCAGAGGTACATGACCGTGTCGTGTTCATTTATAACAGAAGACTGGCAGGGGAGGTCAGCTGTGCTGCAGACGCACAAAGTCTCAGCAGGCAGCCACTCCACTGCAGACACTGTTACAGAGAGCGTGCTCAGCACCGTGCAGGCGTGGGCCATCACCGGTAAAGTGACCTCATGTGTTCATAACGACACGCAGAACAGCTTATCAGTCCAAGCATGTACCCGTGCCACCTGGGACTACACGATTTGCTTTGCCACAACGCTTCAGCGAGCAGTCAGCGATGGGCTTAGTGAAGATTTACTCCGCATCGTTGTTGCTGCTGGGAAACTAGTTAAGCACTTCAATCGCAACTTGCTCGCAAATGAGGCCTTGGAACAGAAGCAAGTTCAGATGTGCCTGCCGCAACACAAGCTCATCCAGTCGAGCAAAGACAGATGGGACACCATCTGCGACATGTTTGAACGTTTGCTTGAACAACGGTGGGCGATTAAAGCAGTCCTCTCCGACCGCAGCGTCACCAGCAGGCAGGAAGCTCAGACCCTTGAGATTGAAGATGACTGCTGGCAGATAATTGAGAACTTCACGCCTGTGCTGGCGACACTTAAATGGGCTACAACAGTCATTTCTGCAGATACAGAGGTGTCCATTTCGAATATCTACCCGATCACCTTCAGCCTGGTTCAGACTCATCTCGTGCCAAAAGAGAATGACGTTGAACAAGTCTCAGAGTTCAAACTCAAAGTTCAGCAGTCACTTCGAAATCACATGGAGGTAGGCACCAGTTTTGACTGAAACATATTAACAAGGATAAAAAAATAATAATAATCTGCATTCCCTTTACATATATTTATGCCATTTTATTTTTACTTATTGCAGGTTGACTCTAACGACCTGGCTTCAAAACCGGCTCTGATCGCCTCCATGTTGGATCCCCGGCACAAACACCTGAGCTTCCTTACACCAACGGGAAGACTGGCTGCAAAGGTTAAGCTTCATGAACTAGTTTCAAAATTGGATGCAGTTGTAACTGCTACTGCAGGTGCAAAGGATGAGCAGCAGGAGACTTTGGTCACCCCGGATATTAGCCAGGCAGCTGTACCCTCGCAAATTAGAAGTGACGCCAAAAACACTATGGTGCTACTCCTTGGCGACAACTATAGTTCTTCCTATGCCACCGACTCTGAGGCTCAGGTCGATTACTACTTAAGAGACATTGCTCCCTCGTTAGACATTAACCCTCTCGACTGGTGGAGGGTAAATGGACCGAGATTCCCCAAACTGGCAACTCTTGCGAGACACTATTTGTGTGTACCAGGGGTATCACTGCCATCTTTATTGTCAGAAGCAGGACAAACGTTTGCAACAATGCGCAGAAGACTGAGCCCAGAGCATGTTGACATGATGATCTTTGTAAACAGAAATGCATAACCCGCATGACCTTAGATGTTGAAGATGCTGGTGCCCTATACCAACAACAGAATAAGGTTACTGAAAGGTAACAGAAGAAGCAAGAAGTCAAAATAGGAAGATGTTGGCGTGTTGTACGTGCTTGTGTTCAACAGTGCTATAAGCCAAAACTTGTTTCAGACACTAAAACTTGGAAGTCATTGCCTTTGAGTTTTTAACAAAGTTTGCCTGCAGCAAAGTAACAGTTGCCATTACTTTGCTGCAGGCAAATATTTAACAACATCTTCCAAGTAGTTCTCAAAATGAAAACCAATCACTTTGTTTTGTCACTTTGCTCAACTTTATACTGGCACTTCAGCCCTGAAACAGCTTGCAGTGAACCAGTAGTAAAATTATGTAAGAAGTATTTGTAGAAATATGTAGTCATAACAAATTCTTGACAGTCAGCTTCAAATGTCAGAACAAGTATCTAGAAAGTGCTCTACAATCATGCTGAAGTCTTTTATATGCCATATTCACCTTAACATAGGCATTGTGTTCTATGAATGGCAATGAATACCTGTTTTTTTTTTTTTTTTTAAATATCAAATAGACTACCTTTACAATTAAGGACAGGATGAAAAAAACAAAGCCTCTTTCTTTCTTTCACCGTAGTTTCTGTAAGCATTACAGCTTACTGAATATTTCTATCAGTGTTATAGTTGGAAAAGATCACCACACTACACTGTATTAACAGTATTGTCAGTTCTTTAGTCTCTCAACTAAGCTCTGCTGAGATAAAATACATACAGCTGCAGCAAGTGTGTGATGATCTGTTTGGGAACCAGACGCTTTTGGCAAGTGCTTTCTCCGTCCCACAGCACAGCCTCGGTGATGTCACCATCCTGGAAGCGACGCAACTCAGAGCGAGGACCCCACAGCTGACGAAATTCAGCCGCCTAGCACAGGAACATTTAGATTTTTAATTTTTCTTAAATCACAAGCATGATTAAAAACAAAGCCACAAAAAACAAGTAACAGAAAATATAAGCACAATTACCATACGAACAACATGATCTCTTTTTATGTTAAAAGAAAAGCTGGTTATAAAGTGCAAAATCCAGCCATAGTTACACCCATGTGTCCATTTTAAGCTGCTTCCTTGTCACAAGAGGGATTGACACAATGGGTCGCTCTACATGTTTTGAGTTCGTAGAGTTTTACGAAGGACGCCCTTCCCGTCTCCAGTGACCTTGTGAGTGTGTGAACCACTACACTATGAAGCCACGAGTAATATAGAATCACGTCTATAAGTGTTACATTTGTCTGCAGCAGTATAATATTCTTCAAGATGTTTACAAACACACTTGAAGTAAAAATACACTTCTTACACCTAGAAAACCATTCTCAAACTGAGCTGTGGCTCTGGAGTTAAAGTGAGTCATCCATTAACCAGTCGGTAGTTCGATCCTCTGGTTCTTTAGGTTGTAAGTTGAAGCCCCATTGGGCAATATTCCCCAAATAACCCCATGTTTATCCATAACTGTGTGTATATGCACAGTATACAGTGCTTTATGATTAGGTGAATCTGGCTTATAGTGCAAGAAGTCTATATACAGTGGTCCCTTGTTTATCGCGGGAGTTACGTTCTAAAAATAACCCACGATAGGTGAAATCCACGAAGTAGCCAACTTTATTTTTTACAATTATTATAGATTGTTTAAGGCTGTAAAACCCCTCACAACACCATTTATACACTTTTCTCAGACAGGCTTGAACATTTTCCCTTGTTTAAACACTCTCAAAGTAAAGTTCAAACCTTCGTAGAAAAATGAGTCCAGTATTATAGAATGAAACCAAAGGCAAAATGTGCAAACCGTTTCATCGACATTGTTGTGATTGTTGTGGAGAGTACTGTACAGCACCTCAGAGTCACACTGCTAGCGATTGAAGATTTATTCAAATTTGACAAGCTGAACGCTTTCTGTACTGTACAGGAGACACGGCACGAGATTGGATGTAGACCATTGTCAATCAATCAGGACCCAGAAAAAAAACCACCATGCAAAATTGCACAAAAAAAATTAGCAAAACAGCGAGGCCGCAAAAGGTGAATCGCATCCCTCACTATAGTGAGGGACCACTGTATTACATACTTGCACATTTCAAAAAATACAATTTGATTTACATGGACAATGACAATGAGTCATGCATGTAGCATTTTGAGTGAAGTGACCTTTTGTCTTCAACTCCAATGGCTAAATCAAGAAATAAAGCCCTATACATGCAATAAATAAAGGCAGGTGAGGTTACCTTGGGGCTGTCTGCTGGTGGGCCTCGTTCTAGGACAGAGGATGACACCTCTGTCCTTAAGAGCAAACCGAAAGATAGCGGAGGCTGAGCTTTGTGCTTTGGGGCTTCGCTCTCCACAGACCACTGAAATAAAACCAAAATAAAGTAAGTTCTGCAGATAGCAATTTTGAGATTAACTTCTTTTTACACAGATATTTCATAACTTTGAAACATATCCACTGTTACATTAGTAGTATTAGAGCCAATTCTTTCTGCACATTGGTAACTTAGATAATATGAAATAAAGGAATAATTCCTGAATGCAAGTCTTTTTCACCTTAGGGTCAGGAGAGAGGGAGTGGGTAAGGAGGTGAATCCTTTGGGACAATCCTTGCTGGAGAAGTGACAGAATAAAAGGCAATGCAGTGTGGATGTAATCCCCACTGTGGTCCATCAGCTCACTGAGAAGATTCAGTTTCTTACAGCTGGACTGAAGCTTCACCAGCTCGCACAACCTACAGGGGAAATGAAACAGAAGAGCTGAGAGGATGAAGAGCATAATGATCTCTACTCTGAAAGTAAAAGTCCTCCATGTGATTTGTTTTACATTTAGTAACCATGTTTCCTAAAAAGAAGGTGCAGAACCCAACTGTTTACCTAGTATAAAAGGTTAACTAAATATGTTAAATATATGCATATGTTTATAGAAACATACTGGAACACATGGTCACTTGTCCTTATCAGGGGTTTGGGTGTCATGAGGAGGCACTGGAACCCATCCACTGTAGGGTTGTCCCAGAACTGCATTGACAAAGACGCCTCATGCTGCAGCTGAGGAACCAAAGTGAAGAAAGTTCAGAAACAGTTGCTTAAAAATCACAAGTGGAAAAAAATGTTTAAACACACCACTGTTCAGTTACCTGTTTGTATGTACAAGCAGTGAGGTCAGCACACATGTTAAGGTGTCCCGAAGGATCAACAAACACAACCTGGAAAGCATCATGGAACTCTGAAATGGATGGCTACAGAGAAAAGATACGGGGGGGTTGGTTGAATCACAGTTCCACAGTAAATGAAAGTGTGAATAAAATACATGCACACAATTAGTGTTTTAAATTTAATTTGGATAACTCACAGCTGTAGAGTCAGGATCTTTGGCCAGGCTGATTCCATTCACTGTCAGATCTGTAGATGCTGAGGAAGAAGGTGCAAGGCAACAGAGATAAGCAAGTTACCTTTCAATTACCAAAATTTTAAAAAAGGACACAGGAGGACATCCATTAAAACTAAAATTACCCAAGAAGTTCAAGGTGTTTCGAAGAAGCTGATATGCCGTCATGCTGTTACTGATTCTATGAGTGATCAGTAGATACGCCAACAGCATTGAAGCTAGGAAGCCATTAAAACAACCAGTGCCCTATAAGACATTGAGAACAATAAAGATATAAGGTAAGACAATACATACACCTTAAAGTAGAACATTTTTTAGCTTTAGCTTTAATTCAGAGTTTTCAGTGTTGTGAAAATAGCTGTCCCTCTACCTGGCTAGATTTTAATGGTGACTTGTGCTAAAACCATGATGTGGACCAGGCAAGGATCAGAATTTCAGATTAAAAGTATCTGGAAAGTTACAGCACTTCCAATAGTACGTGTTGCATTACTAGTGCAATATTAATCGATGATTATTAGTTGCAATATTAATCGATGATGCAGAATGTGTATAAATGTTTTCATGTTTGACTCGCTACTAGAATACAGATCTGAAAATTCATCAGATGTAGTTGTAGGCTATTGATCACAAAGAATAATTATTTAATCAATAATATATATTGATCTGGAGATAAACTAAAGTGATTTCCACATCTCCTTTATTAGGTTACGAGAACTTTTAATGTTTAAATAAATCAAAAGTTGCAGCACTTCAATATGATCCAGTCAAGAATAAAGTTGATTATAACCATTGTTGTAATCATTATCTCTGACTGGGGTTTTCGGTTTTGTCAAGCCATATAATGCAAATTGCTATGCTGAACCCCTCTGAACTCTATGCAACAAGTGTGAGAACCAATAAGAGCTTCCTACCTGATCAAGCTCTCTTTGACGAAGCCAGACTTTAAGTAAAGCCACACCATCAGTAAAAGCTGAGCACTGAGAGCTGACAGCAGAGAGGAACTGGAGGTGAGCCCTCGGCAATAAATCTCCCAGAACAGAGCTGTTATAATGTGGAGTCGGAGGTTCAGAGCTCTCTGTGACAAAATAAGTAAAAAAAAAAAGATAATTTAATTAAGGAGCTGCTGACTAATAACATGGCTATAAATATACAATACAATGAAAACTGTCTGTTGAAAATCCAGACACAGTTTGTTCAAAGACTCAAGCTGCATCGGAAGGCCCAAAAAAAGGTAACAACTTTGAGATCTCCTTTGCATGCTCCTTTGATGTTCCTGCTTTGCTTCTCATCAGAAATATCCAGGTCCTTTTTTAAGCCTGTTTAATGTTTTTCTAGTTCATGACAGGCTACTTCTACTTCTGTAGTCGGAGGGTTAGTATTTAACTAAATTTAACATACAACTGTAAAATCATTGTCTGAGACAGTTTACTGGAGGGGATTTAAATACTGGGATGAACAATAACAATCTTACCAGACTGGGAAGTCTGCAAACCAGTGTACCACTCTGTCCTGATGTTATTCCTCTGGGGATGAAAACGGCTGGGCTTGAAGAACCCGGGAGCTGGACAGGCATGAACACGGAGGGTGAAGCTGGAAGAGTCTTTACCTGGAATACAGAACACTTTTTATCTCAAAGTCACAACCAGAAAAAAAAAAAAGCCTTTTAACATAGATGTTAAAATCCATATATTGTAAACGTAATGTCATTGAATAATGTTTAAAATGTATACAATATGAAATTAATTAAAACTTGAATACCTGGAGGGGTCAGCAGCAGAACAGGTCGAAGTCGATTCCCATGGAGACAGGAATACTGCATGGTCCCGATGTCAGAAGAGGAAGTGAGATGCTGGGCCAGGCCTGCCAGGTAGAGAGCCCTTTTCCTCGGATACCTCTGGTTCAGGACATCTTTTGGATGGAGGACATCCTAACAACAGACAGAATAGCAGACTGAAGGCTACGGAAACACAGCATACCACAGATTTTTTTGTAAAATACAAAAGCAGTTAGGAGGACTTACATTTGGAATTGTGACAGCCAGGTCCACCATGACATTTGGTTTGGTGCAGGTACCCAAGGGGTAGCTCCCGATCAGATCAATGGAAGAAGGAGGCGCCATGTGGAATTTCCCCTTTGTTGTTTTAGGCACCAAGAGAAATGGGACCTTC